AAAGTCCATTACAAAGTGCACTGAAGTGTAGTCGGACACCTTGGGAAGCAACACACACACACACACACACACAGACACAGACACAGACACACACACACACACACAAACACACACACACAGACACAGACACACACACACACAAACACACACACACACACGGATACAGACACACACACACACACGGATACAGACACAGACAGACACATACACAGACACACACACACACACAGACACACAGACACAGACACAGACACACACACAGATGTGTTTGATTAACAGTGCTGCTGTTCACACTTCAACGTGCAAAACAAACAGGGTCATTACCGTTAACTAAAACTAAAAGGAAAAAAAGAAGAAAAACATTTTTGGTACTTGGAAAAAAGGTTAACTGAAAAAAAAAAAAAATATATATATATAAAAAAACAAACAAACAAACTCATTTTATTTCAGCTAGTTGCAGACACACACACACACACACACACACACACACACACACACACACACACACACAGACACACAGACACAGACACAGACACACACACAGATGTGTTTGATTAACAGTGCTGCTGTTCACACTTCAACTCTGGTGCAAAACAGGGTCATTACCGTTAACTAAAACTAAAAGGAAAAAAAGAAGAAAAACATTTTTGGTACTTGGAAAAAAGGTTAACTGAAAAAAAAAAAATATATATATATATAAAAAAACAAACAAACAAACTCATTTTATTTCAGCTAGTTGCCATATCAACCTTTCTCGTTTTTGTTTAGTTAACTTACATCTGAAAATAAATCTGAAATAGTACAACTAAATCTCAAAATAAAAATTCATAAATATTATACAGACAAAACAACTAATGGTAAAAATTTATTATTATACATTTTATTATAAAACATATTATTAAAACAGTGCAATAGCATCTCAATCAGTGTTATTTTAGTATCACCGAGATTCTAAGTTTTTATCAATATTTTGAATCAGTTTTTATATTTATATTTTCCATTTTCATTCAATTTTAGTTAAAGTTTTATTAATTTTGTTGTGTGTTTCTGTCATTTTAGTCGATTAATGAGGAAAAAAAATTAACTTAAATGATTTTAGCAAATGGCTGCAATATAACAAAGAGTGAAAAATTTAAGGGGGTCTGAATACTTTCCGTACCCACTGTATATATATGCTGTATGTCTATATAGTATCATTTTTATTTCAGTTTTAGATTTAAAACTAAATTAAATGAAATGAAAACTAACTTAAAATGAGAAAAGTTGTCTTGGCAACTAGCTGGAATAATTTTTTAATAATTTATATTTTATTGTATCTCAAGTAACGAAAATGGTTTTAATTTTAGTTTCAGTTATAGTTTTAGTTAAGTGTAATAATCCAGATCTCAATGCCATAATACTAAAACTGTTGTGGCTTGTTGAGGAGATATTGTGTACTGTTACTTTTATAAGTGATTGCACTTTTGATTATATCTAGTTCATCTGATTTAGCATTGGATAAAATGGCCAACAGACCGTTTGCTTGACATGAAATAACTGTAAATGATGTTGTTCCATTCGAGAGAGATGTTAGTCACGATTTTCCACACGTTGCTGATCATTTACACACACCTACCCACACAGAGAAGCCCAATCTGTCTCGTTATAACAGTAAACAAACACAGCAGATATCAGATGAATGTTTCTCACACAGCCATGAATGCCGACATCAGTGACAGTGATGTTATCCTTTACTACACCAAAACTATTGAAAAAGTGCTTTCATTAATTGAAAGAAAGCTGGAAAAAAAAAAAATATATAGAAATATTACATGAAAAACTAAAACTACAATTAACTAAAATTAAATTAAATTAAAAGCAAAATAGAAATGCATTTTTAAAAAATTATAAAAATGACAAAAACACTTAACAAAATTGCTAAAACTTACACTAAAATTAAAATAAAAACATATAAATATAAAAATAAAACCTAATTCAAAATATTCATATTGTAATTGTATACAGTATAAATAACGCTAAAATATCACTGATTAGTGGCCAAAAAACAAACAAACACTGAAGATAAACTCTATAATAAAAATGTCAGATCTTTTGTGTGATGAAACAATGATGTAGCCACTGTGTTGAGAATGGAGAAAAAAAGAGGACTGACAGAGGAGGAGAAAAGAGAGAGAGAGAGACAGAGAGAGAGAGAGAGAGAGAGAGAGA